TGTTTCCTATATGGTCTCGTCAGTGGTGCGCATTCCCTTGGTTCCTTGTAAGAGACCGAACCCATTACCGCTAGTGGCTTGCACCAATAGCCAGCAGCTTATGCCGCTGAGCCTTGGATGAGGATAACCGATAATCATGGATGAAAATCTAACCGCGATATCGGCCGGCGCATCCTCCACTGCCATGCAAGTTACCACCCAGGCGGAAGGTAGTGGATGGCCATCCGGTGTCAGGACTTCCTTTGCCAGTAGCCGTGAATTCACACAGTATTTTTGACGCCTGGTAGGGCTTCTTTTTTGATTACCTAAGCGTAAATAGATGTACAAGGTTTATTTGGTTCATCGCAATTAAATGATAAAGTACCAACATGGGATCCTCCCCAGATTATCCGGCAGGTGGATTCTGGTCTGCTCCATGATCAGGCATGCACCGTTTCTCCGCATTCTGCAGTGCATACTCTTCACATGCTATTCGACGAACATGGAAAAATTTGCACCGTTTCAGGTACCATGGTTACTGAGCTTTGTGTAAACGATGCCCTAGTCATTTACTGACACAATCAGGGTCACCATGCTATCTCTGACTGTGGGCAAGAGGACATTTGCAAGTGACCCTAGTATTAAGCCAACCTGTGTCCGCCGCAGATGAAGGTAGAAGTAGCTCTCGTCTTTGAAGTTGTCCTTCTCTTTGTCATGCTGGGCGTGTACCGAATGGTCGTGCGATTACGATAATCGTGTCACTGTTACTTCCACTTACTTCTTACTGGTAGTACTTGAGTGTTCTCTTCATCCATCTGAAGGTGTGGAAGACCGAAGACAGTAAAGGGTGGATCCCTTACTCTCTTAGCCGCTGTAATGTCTGCATAAATATTTTATCCGAATGTCAATCAAAGGCCTTTGCAATGCGCTGCAGAACGTCGGGAGTCTGCTTCACCATGCCGTTTCCTTCACGGTTTCTCTGAGTAAAGGTACATTCTCATTTGTAGGCACTGTTGATATTCGTTGCCGTGTTCTCGTTTACGTCGGTGCGTTCAGCAGCATCGTTGGTGGTTTTGCCGTCGGAAAACATAACGTTAGTAAGGACCTGTCCGCATCAATGAGAGTCAATTGTACTGTATTTACCTCAGGAATGCGTTTATTAGGCTTTCGGTGGTAATGTCGGTCGGTTCGCGCAGCGGTAGGAAAACAAAGTTAGGCGGTAGTTGATGGTGTTATAACAGGCTAAATTGTTCTTATAGTAGTGCAAACGCGGATGTTCAGGCACACACACTCACACACACACAATACTCGTAATACAGGTGGAAATTCGATCCCCGCCTTTGATGAAGTTGAATGATGCTCTTGATGAAATGAAGGACTAGCATTAGCGCCCGCGGCTTGCGCAATTCAGGTTATCTGAGCCTGACCGCCATGTGGCCGGAACATCATCCAGTCGCCTTACTCTCCTTGTTAACAAATGACTGGCTTTCTGCTTAAAATTTCATTGTCCAGCATGACCTGCAAAACCTCAACTTCGGTTTGCAAAAGGTGCATTTCAAGTGAAAACAATATTTATGAAAATGATGCCAAGCCTGCGGTCCTTGCGTTTAACGCACCAATCGGAAGACAGCTGTCAACTAATCGGATTCATGTGCTTTTGTTTTCAATCATTTGTCCGTTGCGTAGAGATAGCGAAAGTGCCTGCACGGGATGACAGTGGCATCCTACAAAGTCCCCTTTTGGAGATTCTCATTTGATACCATATTTAATACTAAGCAGTATGTAAAATAAGCACCTGGGTGTGTCCCGCCCTAGAGCAGGAGTTACAGACGTTAGATTCAACAATATGCAAATGAAAGAATTGCGCTTATTGCTTTCACGTATACAGTTGCTGTGTTTCGTTAATAATACCGGATATATATACATATATTATAATAGGTGGCATGAAGATAATTACTTATGCGGTGGTGGATCTGAGTGATCCACTAAAAGGATTAATGTACTGGATCATGCGCGGGACCAACGTAATTCGATCACTCAGCACATTAAGAAAGTTCCCATGCGTCGCATACATTAAAGGAGCCTGAATTCTGCGAGAAAAGATGAAAGCTGCTGCTTACTCCTTCCGAATACTGTATTGTGCGAACAAATAGAATGTCCAAGCTGCCCGACATCGAAATCTTAGTTAACACGTTGGATGATCAAAAGCTATGTGTCAGCTGTCAATACTTTAACCGCTTTTCAAGTTCCAAGGTAATTTCTTGCAAATGTGTAACTCACCGTAACTGGAACTCACAAACCACAGTCATTATCAGTAAGTTCACTGAATGCAACAGTGCGAAAATGTAAATCCGAAACTATTTTATACTCCAGCGCAGAGTGTGGCTCCACTATGTGCTAGACGAGATTGTTCCAAACATTGACCGCTCTCCGTTATAAACACTGGAGTTGGGAAACTCGATTCAGATTCAGCACCAGTAACGCGGTACATGTACGCACTGAAGGCATTAGCAACGGGATCAGCGTTCTCAGTAAAGAAGTGTCACAGAGGTGTAGAATACAGTAGAGTATGAGTAGAACGACTGTGGACGTTTCCAGTCTCTGCCACCTGCCTTGGCGTGGTAAGCACTGTAAACTACGGGGTAAGATTGGTAGTGACGTGTTGGACCTGTTCGATCTTCTACACCTCACTTCGGGCAAGCGGACAGCAAGTGAGAGACAACTGGCTTAATGATGAAGGAGAAAAAGCTGGTGTTAATCGTTTCCGAGCAAATGCAGTAGCTGCGTTTGAGTCCACAACGTACGGATAGGCCGTTTTTGCACTGGTCATTCGTGTTTTCCACGGACTTCAAATCGCAGCATGCCACAACACTTAAGGCGCTCAATGCAAGTGTAGAATTTACCGGTTATCCGTCGAGGGTGTGGATTCGGCCCTCAACACCTTCCCCCAGGCTTTTGAATACCGACTTGACTGGCATAAAGGACAGTCAGACTTTTATGGACCATATATTCAGGGTGACCACAAAGTCCCCAGACACTCCACGTTAATGCATATACCTATATAAATCAGGGTATTAATGTTTTTAAATAATGTGCATGATATTTGTCAAGGAAAAGAAGAGCTCTTCGCTGGTCAAAGAAATTTATTGAAACTACACTTGCTAGCCTATGATCACACAGTCATCGATTCAACGTGTCTGTGTGTTCACCGTCATTCTCAGCACATAGACGAATGCGTCTCCAAGTGCTTGCTGAGTTACGTTTTAGGACATCAGGAGAAATAGAGTTCAAAGAAGCACGGGTTGCAGCTTTAAGTTTGTCTGTGTTGTAACGTGTTTTTCTGACGTCTTCTTTCATCCTGCTCCACAAGGCATTGTCGCACGATGAGAGGCCAGGACTACAAGCTGACCATTGATGCTGTGATCCAACTCCAAGCCACCGGCCAGGGAAATTCTCATCCAGGAACCAGCGCACTGAGCATGCTGGTGATACATGAACAGCCTGGCATGAAACCATGCTGTCGGAGCATCCGGAGATCTTATGACTGGGGCCGCTGTAGTAGACCCTTCCTTGCGGTTTTCTGCTCAAACTGGATCAAAATAGGTGACAAAAAATCAGTCTCTAGTTCGGGATTAGTCTTACCACGAAGCATTTCAAAACACTCGACAGGGAGCCTTCAGACAACAACCTTTTGAATAGGGCACCTACGTCAGATGTGATGGTGTTCAATAAGGATCTGCGAATAAGTCGTTATACATGTCAGGCACAGCAGGCTTGGTGCTGTTAAGATTGGCGTTTCATCGACACACCTCTTCCACACCACAACCTTCTCTGTCAACTTGGATATGGGCAGGGAACGCCGAACTCAGCACAGACACTCGGTTTCTGCAAAGACGGAAGCGAAGAGCTCCGCGAAAGAGGACAAGCACTAAGTGCTGAGGAAAAGAGCTGTCCGTCCGCGCCCTATATCACTGGTAGGTCACTGGCCGGCTTCAGGCGCCGTTTCACGTACGAAAAGAACTATTTCGGGGTGAGCTTTGGTTTGGTTGCAAGTTCCCCTTCAAACTTTGACACTTCCTTGTGTTCGAACTGTTGCAAGTGTATTACATCTTTCTATACACCTCCTCGTTGGCCACTAAGCCAGACACCAGGGATTTGCCCTACAGTCTGCGAAGCCGTCGAGCCAACTCACCATATTCCTTGTCGAACCAATGCAGCTTGGTTGGTCCGACTTTCCGATACCTGCAAAGTACAGAAAGGTTAGACGAATAGTTTACTCCACTCTTTACAGCTCACCAGCAAGCTGCAGCAGATATGGATTGTGGCAGTGTACATTTAGCTTACAGCTCGAGTTAGATCGTTGAAATCCGTACACCTCTAGGTAAAAGCTGGCTGCGGTGTGTAGGATTGCTGCAGCAGAAGCATCATGTTTGCAATGAGAACTGGCTTGTCTCTTAATGCCAAAGGCTCCAGGTTCTGAATGTCATACACAGGTTGTTCACAGGCGGATAACACCAAGTCGAAACAAAACGGAGTTTGGCGTGGTATTACGCTCACCGACTGGCAGATGTGTTGTGCTGCCCCAGTTTCAAGTACCATACCAATGAACTTAGTTTTGGCTTCCCAATATCTGCTGATATGTTAAATTTCATGCCAACGTCATTTGGAACTGAAATGGCCAATGAGTAGAAAACGGTAGCGATTGTTGTGGTCCCGACGATGCAGCAACTAATTCATACAGACATTTGACATAGTATGATGAATTTGAATGCTACAGTGGGTTTTATTTGATAACCGGTGGTCATCAAATGTCTCATAATTGTTGAAGTAATCTTGCTTCTCGGTTCTTGGGGTGCAACCATCGAATATTCTGTCTGTTTGCGAAGTAGTAGTAAGTATTATGTGCATCTAAGCTTCTTCACCCTCTATAGAAAACATAGCACCATTTGTTTGAGTTGATTTTAATTACTTTGTAATGGACATTATTATGATTCCTCTTGGTTTACTTTTTGGTTTCACAGGAAGAGAGTGTTTACGATGGTATTCAGTCACACGCAACGTTACAAATGCCCAAGCGCTGGACTGATTTCAGAAAACGCTGGACTGATTTCAAGAGAATCCATCCCTCCAATGAGTATAGTTGGTGATTAGTGTTACCTGTTTAATGTTCTGAATAAACTGCATACTTCCGGTATACGACTTTTTGGGTGATTAAATGCCTTCTGGAATGGACCACCGGAATTAAACGCGAAGAATGTGTACAAAGTAGCTTGGAAGCTCTTGGTTAGTTTGAATATCTGTTCAGTACGTAGACTGTCGTAAGTGGACTGGGTAGCATGAAAGAGCTGTGGTGCGGTCTAGTGCAATTCAAGCACATCAAACCAGTAGTGTACCACACTGAGTCGACCGGTGTACTGACTAAATATCGTCAAATCTTGTTTGCGTATGAGAAACTAAGAACTACTTCAAGTGAAAATTTTGAGTGAATGGAAGAAGGCAGCGATGGTTTTTGATTGCTTGCTGTGTAGTGAATAAAAACGGTTACCTTCGATCATGCAGAACAAAACTCTCTACCTGGCAAGATGCATAATACCAACACTTAAAAATACACTTTAGTACCTTTGAAACCTAGGTGTGGTTTAGAAGAAAATCACGTAAATAGATAACAGCATGTACAGTTACAAGTAATGAAAATACATTAGGAGTTGCTGAAAGCCTCTTCTATCTAGGCGACATTCAAACGTGCCTTACAATTTTAAGAAACAGTTTACTTTTACTTGTGGGCCAGGATACATTGACTTTGACAGAAAACGCGAAGACACTTGACAGCAGATGAACAATATTTAAGCTCATTGTTCACAGCTAGAGAACGGACAGTGGCTACTATAACCCGACTAATATAAACAAATTGTACAGCGAAATCTTAGGAGCTTTAAACACCGTACCTCATTTTCCCTATGTGATTTCAGTGTGCTTGCCAAAGTGAGTGATGTGGTAGCATGCAAATAGACAAGCCGCTAAAGCGACTTAATGTGGTGTGATTTCTGTGCTATAAGTGACAAATTGCTTAACAAAACTGACATAAAAATATGCTTTATTTATTCTAATGGATAACATAGAAATAAGGCACATTTCAAGTTCGTTAAGCGGCCAAGATGACATAATCTTTACCATCGGCAAATGAAAAAGCTCCGCCGAAACAGTTGTGCATTCGAAAGAAACACAAAATAATAATGATTAATAATAATAATAATAATCATGATTCCAAGTGGTCTGATTACACGTAAGTAAGAATTGGGACCGATTAACTTACAAAGAAAAGATGGCATAGGTCAAACAATAGTGCGGCTTAAAGTTTCACTACCTCTCAATGAGGTTGTTCCTATGCCAAGAGTATCGGATGTATGACGAGCAGCTTTTAAACAGACAATCCCAGCAGGTTAGAAAAGTGAAGAAAATAGGTATGGCATGTCGCTTCGAAATTCGTCCTAATCACAGATCGGGGAAGGCAAGAATGGATCATTTCGACTTCTGCTTGGTGCTGGTGATTACAGAGCCCGTTACTCATCTGGCTATTCATGAAGAACGAATACACCTCTAAAATATTCTGTGAAAACTTTACTTCTTGTAGCACATTTTCAGTTTGTTTCCATGTGAGCCATCTAACCGTTTTGAGGTGAAAGTCGTTCCAAACTAGAATAAATTCGTCCTTTTTGTGCAGTAAAAACACGGTTATTTACTCATTACAGTTAGCCAAATAGAAGCTCGCGGTTTTAGCGATGCAAATGCGCCACAACGAGGGGCGCGCTGCAAGGCTCTTGCTTCGCACATCAGTAAAAATGCTTCCAGTTTCCTGAATAAGTAGTTCTTCTATGTTGTATGAGCGTAAGTTGCTCCAAATATCGGTAGGCCTTATGCATCTTTCCTGGAAGCACTGTTGGCACTCACATCGAATATGTAGACGAGATAAGAAACAGCTGAGATAGTAAGTAACTTAAATGCTAAAGCAGAGCATATTTTCAATATCAAAAACAGAGGACGGTTGCCAAGGCGCTTCAGGCTCATTTTCTGCTCTAATGGTTTGGAGACAAGATAAACTGTGTAACAAGCAGCAAGGTAAGAAAGCCCAGAAACAAGATGAAACATCGACTGGACAAAACTAATTTATGAGAGCAATAGAGTATATAAGCAATGTTCAAAAACGACGGTTATACCATGGAGCGATACTAAAGGTACTCATGAGTAAGGGAATTACTGTTGTCATTAACTGATGTCAGTAACTGAAAATGCATCGCAGCAACTGTAAAATCAGATGGTCCTCCACGTGTCGGAAGACACTAGACTACCGTTGCGACCGGTTGGATCATGTCGATAGTGCGCATCCATTGGCTTCATCCGGATCTGAACCCATAACAGTTATGTCCCTAAACAGCCAACCTGCATCTAATGCGATATACCCACAAAGGGTTGCATCAAAAATCACCCATTCAGGAGTAAATAAAATATTCGTCCATGGCCATTGCCTCTCGGTACCAACCCTGTCCTCTGCAACCTTCTTAACTTGCATGGCAGTGGAGGATAAGACGAGCTATATCACATTTGGCTTGTAAATCATGGCGGCCCGACGCTGTCCCACGTGACCCAGGGGCATATGGTGCTGACTGGAGGTGCAAGCCGCTGGTGGTCACGAGTTCGAATCCTGATGGATCAGATGGATGTGCATTGCTGATGATGTCCAACAGGCTGAACCTGCAGTCTAGTGCATTTCCGGGCATGTGGAATAACATCTGATTTGGAAGGTGGGTATGACGAATCTCAATTATCTATATTGAAATCCCCTACTCACGAATATATATTCGCCCTAACAGTTACTAAACGCTATGTCGTTCATAGTTACTGTTAGTGGACGTCATGTCTTTCTAGGTCAACCACATCCCCTTCAACGTTCGTAACCTGTATGGCAGTGGAGGATAAGACGCGCTATATCACGGTTGGCTTGTAAATCATGACGGCCCAACGCTGTTCCCCGTGACCCAGTGGCATATGGCGCTGACTTGCGTGCGAGCCACTGGTGACTGCTGACTAGGTTGTTGAATGCGCAAGACTGACTAGAAGCAACTGGTTGGAACGGCGATTAGTGTTTTCCTAACATGTGAATAGCTATCTCATTTGGAAACTGCTGCAGTAATTTTTATTATTAATCGTACTTACGGCGTGTGAGGCACCGAGACTTAGTTGGTTTTCACCGTTGTTATCCTGCCACCCATCTACACTCTAGCTCTTATTCATAGAATGCGAAAATCTCCCTCCTGGTCGCAACCTGCTCAGGCTTAAAGATAATTGGATTATTCAACGGGGAAGATGTGGAGCAAAACTCAAACAAATGATTGGTTGGTGGCCCTTCATTATGAGCAACATACCACTGAATCACATCTCTCGTACAGTACAATGGAATACGCTGGTCACTGAAAAAACGGCAGTAAATACAGATCCTGTAGGATAGTTTACTTAAGGTGGTTAGCTGTTTTCAGTAACTTGAAAAGCACTGGAAGGAGACAAAAATGGCCAATTGCATGCATTTCGCGCTTTCTTCCTTGTCACTGACAATAGTTTGGATACATATATGATCTAACAGTGGTTGTAATCAGACAATCTAAACGTGAAAAAAGAATTAAATAGTGTAAGTTTGGCCTATGTGATCTTGGCGGATTAACACTTACACATGACTGTTGCTGAACGGTCGGAGTTGGCTTCATCCAGATTGTCATAAAGACTCAGTGAAACTAACCAACGAAGCAAAGCAATTCTGAGCATCAAACGGAGTTCTGTTCAGTAATCTGTGAACAGAAAAGGTTTGCCTATCAGGGAAGTGGGCGAACTTTGCTGTGCTGAAGCTGAGAATACATGATTGCCCGTCCATCTAGCGCCGCATCCACTGCGTTGTATTTATTGTGTAACATTTAAATAATGTGTTCAAACATTGTATGAACATACCATTGGGCCCGGTTAAACCTCGACAATAAATCATCCAACACCCGGAAAAATTCAAAGGTTTATTGATCTTGTTTGGAACCCACCATCATCATCTATTATTTCGTGGCAGTGAAGACGCAGAGCGATATGAATATTACCACAAGCTACATGAAACTCGTTGCAGGGTGACGTTAGTGCCTCAGGTTGTAGCAACACAAGTTGTTGGTAAACCGCATGTACTGTCCACGTCTTTTGCGCCTCCTTTTGCTGGAAAGTTGATCGACACAGCGGGTTGAACTTGTCAACTGTTCGCAGGTTCGGCATAAGGTAAACTATTACTTCCCAGCAAAATTGCACGAAGATTTTCAATTTATTGTCGGAACTCTCGTTACTAGCCAAGCGACAGGCAAATGTGGTGCTTAAGCTCTAGAATGTCTTGACAGTAGATCAAATCTACTCACGCTGTAAGGTATAACCTCCCAGGTACTTTACTTAAAAGCTTGTAAAGTGATCTCTGGCTCACACATCTACGTGCAAAAAATTATTTGTATATAGAAGCGTATTAAAGAGCTGTCTATTTAGTGTGTAGATCTACTCATGATCGCATTATAGAAGGAGAATGCCCGATAATGTTTATGCGTTATTAGAAAATATTGGATGAGCTCTCTTATATGATTTGTGGAGTAAGCTATTGCGAAACCACAGAGAGCTAATCCCGTATTGGGGTACCCAAATGATTGAGTCGGAACACATGCTGTATTACTCGCATATTTTTTACGTTTAGCTTAGAATTTGAAAGGCGACAAGCAAAACGTAAATATACATAACGAGAAAAGCATTTAAGCTTATTTTGTATATTGTTCAACCCTTAGGCAGTAAAAAGGAACGTTTAAACGCCCCGAGGATGTACTTTTCTTATTGCTGAACACTTATGTCATCGCAAACTTAGGTGGATAGAAAAAACCTCTGTACGTCGTGTCAACTAGAACATAATACGGCTAATTCAGAAAGTCCGCTGCTGTTATAATGCTGGAGCAGCAGGAAATGTGAGTGATGCTGGTAATGAGCCATGTCTTAAGCTATCCGGGTTGTGTAGATAAACTAGCACTTTACATCTGAGACCATCGCCAAGCAAGTGAGTGGTTGAAATATTTTGGGCGCGGCAAATGAGATATTCAGTAACAGTTTATTCACCTGGATTTTATTGACTATTTGTTATC